ATCATAATAATACTTGCCGACTTTACACGCTTGACAATAAACGGTAAATGCGCAATGTTTACAGTAACATCTATTATTCTTTACCCAACTAACAAGATGTCATTCGTGTTCATCATAGGCTACATAGGCTCCTTTTATGGACTGTAGCCTTCTCCGGTCTATTCAGACATTGTAATCTATCAACAAATTGCTACATATACAATCTTCCCCACCAGTATTATTTGAATCATTGAAGAAGCAGTCAAAAACTAGTCTATACATATACAGGTAATCCGACGTTTAGATATTTGATATAAAATCTTGTTTCACCGTGGCATAACGAATACCACAAAGAGCGGTTGTTTCTTCTATTATTTCCCTTCGACGGGCTCATTAGAACAATGTTTGTTTGGTTAAGGCACCGCTTTAGGCTGTACATTGTGCATTCTGTGGTGTAAGCGACGAGCTTTAGCGTCTGATTTCATGATATTTTTTAACTTGTTTAATATCGTAATTAATACTAGCTATATTGATATACCAATTTTAAACCGTTTATTTCACGTGTAAACCTTATATAAATTGTGAATTATGAAAATTCGTGAGTATGGAGAAATAATAAGTTACGTTATTTTTTTTAACGATGAGTACTGAAAGAAATAAAATACTTCTTATGTTAAATTGAAGACAGTGATAACACTTCAAATGCACTTACTACTAACTTTACTAGTTTTTCTACCCAACCTGATATATTAAAAAAAAGAAAACGAAATCTACATCATATAACAAGTAGAGGTTTGAGTTCAGACATCTATACTAATATTGTAAAACTGAAAAGTTTGTTTGACCAATAGGAGCAGAGGGAAATGGATATCTTTGAAGGTTTTCGTTCCATGCGCAGCGAAAACGAAAGATTAATTCTTCTCGAAATGAACTAAAACACGTTCACGACAGTATGTGTCTAACGTTTTATTTTAGCTTACAAGAACGACGGGACGCGGGTATCAGCTTACATTTTTAAAGCTGAGTAGGTTCTTAGCAAAAATAAATAATATGATGCCCAAGATAGCTATTCCATGCGGACTAATTTGTGGAAACAGCTAGTAACTAAATAAAAGCGAAGTTATACAAGTCTTTTTAACGAAATCGCTCCTGCTTATAATTCACACCGCCGGACTGAGTTAACAGCGCGGAATCCTGCGGGAATTGTAGCGGGCACGCGTATCGAGTCACTTTAATAATGAAATTAGTCGGCGATAGCTGAACGGTGCTTTAATGGTGACCATTGCTGACCACTGGGGAGCTCTGCCTTGTAGTTGATTTGACTGTACAAAGGGTTCCAACATTACTATTGCGTAATCGTGAAATGTAATTCAGTGGGGGTGGAAATTGCTACCTATGCATCAGCAGCTATTTTGTATCAAATTCATTATATTTTGAGGTATTTAAGTTCTAGTTAGTTTATCCAACAATACAAAACCTGTTGCAGAAAGATCTAATAGTAAACGAAAGAGCACGATTCACTATTTCTCTTTTACAAGTGACGTTAACCAGTACTAACTAATAAAGCAGTAGCAGCAGACGAAATCGAAAATTAATTTAGTATAAAAGTTTATAAACGGCGGGGACTTTTGTAATACTATCGGTGTAAACTAAACGTACGAAAAGATTGAAGACGACTGGAAGAGTAGCTTTTATAGGCGCTTCGGTAGTTATGTAATTACTAGCTGTGCCCGCGACTTCGTCGTTCGTGTCCTGTCGCATTTTAAAAGATAGACAAATACTGTCGCGGACATTTTATATATTCCGCTGATTAGGAAAAGTAGAGACCGCAGTACAACATATGCCCCTAACTCTCGACCTAACAGGGGTATAATAGGTGAATATGTTCTAAATTGCAGGCCACATCACCCTCACAAATCAGCTGTAATAACCCGACATCCCCTAATGCGCACCGAATTAATAACATCACTAACTCCCGCCGCAGTTTCGTCTATAATACGCAAATTTTGCCTATTATCGTTACAATGTATTAGTAAGTTTAATACTTTTTATAGTAAAAAAGTCAATATATATAACATACTGTCTATAGTTTACGCGAGTAGTACACATTTAAATAAAACACTTTAACGGTTTAAAACGCGATATATTAGTTAAAAATCATTTTCGAATAAGTTTAACTAATATATCGCGTTTTAAACCGTTAAAGTGTTTTATTTAAATATATATAACATGTTAAAAATGAACCTACAACCGGTAAAACATGCTTTGTAGTTTTATTGTAGTCAAAGTTTTAAAAGAATGTAGTTCAAAACCTTATTATACATTATTAAATGGCTTCGCGTTTAAATCATGGTGGCTATGGTATTACTAAATTCTGTAAGATAATTTTGCCTCATTCCCTCAAGTGGAAAAATACTTTTTTATAATAACTAGGTACACATATTAGTTTGACACAACCCAAATATCTATATCAACAGAGCTGCCATTCCGGATAGCAATTATATTTGTCCACGTGCTATAAAAAGTGTAATCAAAACGTCAATCACTGACAGCTGATTAACTATCAACTTAATTAAAAATTGTTGATCGACATATCCTTTTCGTACGATCAGAATTTTAATAACAATGTGTAAAGCTCACTCAATTGAGATATGTAATGAAAAGCTTTAGACGAAGAGCTGAACAAAGTCATAATTTCAAGCTTATTCAATGTGCATAATGATTTAGATGCATTTTATATCAAATGAGTAAGCTAGTAAGCGAATGGTTTTACATGAGTGTTGTCAAGCTTACGAATTTATGGTCCATTACTAGTTCAAGAATTTAACAAATACTTTATACGATATATATTAAAATAAAACACTTTAACGGTTTAAAACGCGAATTATATATAATTAGAAACGGACTGTTCGAACGGAACAGATGGCCTGTTCTTTTCGAACTTTGACATCTTTACTTCATCATTTGTGATTTTTACTTTGACATCATAGACATCCGCCATCTTTAGTCTCCCCGTGACCACGGCTGCTGCAAAGCATTCGAAACTTTGGGCCGAAGTTAAAAATAACTTTCAAATAAGTTTAACTAATATATATCGCGTTTTAAACCGTTAAAGTGTTTTATTTAAATCTGTACTACTCACGTAAACTAGAGCCGTCCATGAAACTACGATATGAATTATGTCTATATATAAAACTTTTTGCCGTTGACTCCTAGACTACAAACTCAAGCAGACCATCAAAAGATATTTCGCATTGTTTGACGTCATTGACGTCAAAAGGCGCGGCTGCGACTGCGAGCCGGCAAATATTTGTGCGTATGATTTGTTCGGGCCCTTGACATACGCTAACAAATTGCTGCCAATGTTTTTTCCTATGTTTGTACGCGTGCCACAAACTGTTGACTCACTTTTTATCGCTAGGTAACACTTGAATCGATATAATATATTAAAAATGTCTAGTCGTGTCTTTATGTGCCTGTTCTTACAACACTCGACTTTAAATATTAGATTTGACTAAATATTAAGGTTAAATTTAGAGAAAAAACTATTAAATCACTAATATAGAACATTATTTCAATAAATAAAATATAGAAGAAAAGAAAAAATTAAAAGACCACGTCTTATTAGTTGACGATCACTTGTGGCAGATATATCTTTCGTATTCCACATGTCAATAACCATATTATTAACTGTCTCGTACAATCTCTGAGGTATTCACTATAACCTGAAATGTCATTGGAAAACCTCAATATTTCTGCATAGATAAACTGTTTTAAAAACAAATCAAACAGCGCATAAGAAATATAAATAAAATATGAACCAAGTCCCCTTTTCCATTCAAAGATAACGTCGTAAATCCATATCGAAATAAAACAGTATATTTAGTACAAAGCGAACCCTCCTGGCCCTGGGGCTAAATTCAACCCCTAACACTTCCCATAAAAGTGTTTGAGTTATCATCAAAGTTTAGAAATACATATCTCCTATATAAATGAAATAAGAAGAATGAATACATATTGAGTAGGTATTACTGATAATTTTAACGAGACTGTACAGATGGCTAATAGACATTGTATAGATGTGTAGTATATTGTTGTAGAATAAGACAAAATATTATGAAAGTCTGAAATGATAAAATTTGTAAAAGAAATAACATGAATCTTATGTTAATAGTGTGTTAAGCTACTCGACAGAAATATACTCGTTAATTAGTTGTATATAGTGTTACAATAAAATAATTAAGCAACTAGTAATTCGTAATGTATAGCTCAGTCGACTTCGATTCCTACGAGTACAGTTCTAAAAGTTTTAATTGAAAATAATCAAGAAGAAGAATCGTCTATAGTGCCTTGTGCAAAAGCATCATTCAAGTTCGCTCAGTTTCGTCTATCCAATCTCTCGAACGATATAATCTACCGAAATCCAATTAACATTAACAATAGACATAATCTTCAATCGTTAACGAACCACAATAGAAAACCAAAGCTGTGTATCAGGAGCCTTTATGTCACTCCCATTAAACATAGAGCTAAGTAGGTCAGCCGGACGAATCGTTGAGAAATGAATAATTTCTTTGTGAAAGTCGATTTAAGAGATTAGAGAGGGCTGCAGGATTTGTAAATGCCCAGTCATGTCATGTAAGCCCGGGCTCTACGCTCTAATAAAATAATTATAACTGTTAAAACGGCGAACATCTATTTAGTAAACTGTGCTAAAAATAACTCTGTCAACTAACGGTATATTAGTACATTTTATGGTAGAGAACAAGCTAGACAACCATGGAGTTCTAGCAATTACCATGGAGTAGGCGAATTACCCAGCCATATATCATCTAAATAAGATGCACTGTTAAATTTCTTATGGCTTTGGACCTTCGAAATTCATAAATTGAAAACAGCTTTTTCATCCGTACACGGTTGGGCGCAAACCGAACCCGAACCAAATTTGATATTCCTACCACCCGTATATGTATACCAGTAATAGAAATATTCTGAACACCTGTGACAACCAAAACTCTTACCTCAAAAGCTTAACTTCCCAAAGCGCCAGCACTTCGGGAGGTCTAGAAGCACATAACGCTAGCCGCGACCCACATGCGTGCAGCCGAACAGGACCTGGCTTGATTCCTGTACTTGATGGTGCTGATATGATCACGGCTGCAAATTCTTTACTACTGCCGAGGTTGTGTTGCACCTGAAAAAAATTATTAAGATTAACATTAACTGTCTTCAATATAGAAATATGTACATTACAACAGCATTTCTTATTTTCACTCTTTCTACCTTCTAGAATTCTCTTACCTTAACCCTCCATTGTATGAGAATTTCTCGTGTATCAAAAGCCAGAACTGGAACCACGTCTTCACATAGTATGCCCAAAGTATTAGACTCTTTGTCTAACGTAAAACCAGATTCGAAGCCGAGGTACTGCTGGAGAGACAGAGACGCCTTCGTTTGACCGTTCTTTTGCCTCTCTTTTAAGTCTTTGTACAACTGCAGGTGCACGCAATCTGTAAAGAAAGAAGTATATTATAGAATGGTGTTCAGTTCATGAGAGATGAGATGTTATTTGGATAATAAACGGAGGGCAAACTAAGATTGAATTAGATAAAAAACCAAACAAAACTAACTAAAGTTCACTTATATAAATTGAACCAGCTATATATACGACATTTTAAATTGATAGCAGCTACGACCTGTCTCCAATGACATAACAAGGCGTTGGAACATCCTCTAATTCACCCTTAAAACATTTGACATCAGTTTTATCTATCCTGAAATTCAATGTTTATGATTCTCTGTGATTAGACTAAGAAAGATTGGTTGGATTGGACACACTGTTTTACCAAAAAAAAATCAAATGAATCTTAATGGATATTTCTTTATCTGTTTCTATGTAATAATAATAATTACCCATCCTTGTATTTATTACTTTAAAAAGAAATATTAAACTTATATAATTAAATTATACGCGATAAATATTAAGCTATTACAAAAGAGCTATTTGACTGTAGAAATATAAGATATGAATTTCTTAATATAAAACACGTTTACAAATGTAAACTTAATTACATTGCATAAGATATAACAACATAATCGTGTACAATTTTTATCATTAATTAAATCTTATTTAGTAGATGAGAGATACAGTTTAATAAGACATTGTAAATTCTCAACAAGATTCAAGTTACTCGTAATGAGCCGAGAATAATGAGTGTCTTCCTTTGTAAATGCCTTTTGATTTATTGTCTATGCTTTTTCAACGTCTAGACTTATGAATTGTAAATATGGCATCGAAAAATTTAGAACGATATGAATACGAGCCAATGAAGAAATACAAAAGGTTTTTGCGCATGTTAAGTTATGTAGATTTAAAAAATACTTTCATAAATACATATTTGAAACAATAAATGTATTGAAAGATTTTAAAAGTTTAATATTTTTCACATATTAATGCACACGATGACGCTATATATATATATTCAAAATCGATTTTTCAACGCTGGTTCAAATCCTGCCCATGGCGATGATTATTTTCAATTTAAAATCGATTATTAACAATATGCGACCATTTAGTTCTTTTGGTTATGTCTCGCAACGAAATCATACTACAAATCTGGTATATTTAAAATAAAAAAATACATCAGAATTGATTAATAAAGATACATAGTAGACAGAGTTTAAATAAATAAGAAAAAGCTTACAAAAAGATATGCCCCTCTACTAAATTAAAAATTAATTAATTATTAATAATTTGATGCGTGGGAATTTTATTAGCAGTACCAAAGAACACGTTTCCATAAGAAACAATGTCATTTGTTATACAAACGTGATACAAGGGACTGCAAGTTGAACAATAACAATCAAAGCTCACACGAATTTAATACGAAAACGAGGTGATTAGATCCGAACAGTCGAGTCACGTCGCGCCAATTAGAAAACGGTCCAAATTAATTTCAAAATGGAACACTCAATTTTGATGTAGTGGATGTCATACGTCCCTAGCGTAATGCTGCAGTGAGTTTATAACTTTAAAATTAGGGGCGTTAAGTTCAAATTGCTGTGACTAAAACGCGGTGTCATAGACAAAATAGATCATTGTCACGGGCAATGAGAAATAGACTCTGTTTTATGCAGATAAGGTATAGTTTTGCATAAAAGACTTGGCGTAATTAGGGGGTGTATGACAAAGACCATATTTTTAATAACATAATTTCGGTATGGCTAATAAATTAATAATAATTGTAATTTAACGTGCTAACGTGGTGTCTTGTTAAACGTGTTTTTTGCTTTACTTTGTTGCTGAAAATAATAATGTTACATAGATAATGTAATGACACAGCTTAGCTTACAGTACCTACACAGACTATATTTTGTCTTATGTAATATGCAGCAGTTGATATGGTTGATATCATAAAAGTGATCAGCAAGGAAAGACGTAGTGTGTTGTTTTTTTTTGAGATGATCTAATTTATCTATACTAATATATAAAGATCGCGCTGCCACTAATAGGAGCTAAGGGACGATGGGAAATTATTGGGTTTCCGATGCTTACGCTTCGAAAACGGTTCCAAATAAACAAAAAATATATATAGAAGAATGATTCCTGTTTATTTGATCTCAAAAAAGTCCATCACACTATGTGTCTATCTTTTAAGATGGGATTACAGTTTAAATTTATAAAGATGACGGTTTGCAATAACAAATTTGGATGCCCGAAATAACTATTCTACACGGACGAAGTCGCTGACACAGCTAGTACATTATAATTCTAAGCATAAAAAAGTGCAGTTATTACTTATTTGCTAGTAATAGGCAGCAAATGAAAAGTTATTTTAGTAGTGAACATAACCCCTTTAGTGAATGACTTCTTTATTAGCACGATCACATTGCTACACAGATAGCATCTTGCGACCCAAATACACAAGATATCTGCATCGTAGACACGACTTGTGACGAATTATATAACGAATGATATCTTAAAAAACGTAGTTGTAATTTATTCGGCATTATTTAATAAGAGTGGTTACAGCACTGTTCAGGAAACCAACATGTATATTGTAGTGTAAAATACTGTCTGTAGTTCATGCGGGTAGTAGACATTTAAATAAAACACTTTAACGCGAAATATAAGCTGTGGTCATGGGGAGAACTTCCATTACGGCTGCTGCAAAGCAACTGAAACGTAGTTAAAATCATTTTCAATAAGTGTAAAAAATATATTTCATGTTTCAAACCGTTACAGTGTTACAATTAAAATTATATGTAAACAATTATTTATTTTAATTGTGCTATTAATTAAATAAGCACGTTATATTTCAATCTTAAGTTTTTGCAGGTCTATAAAAGAATATTTATAGAAAACTTCGACCGACATTGTGTGTATGTCTGTCACATTATTCCTTTTATATGCAGAAGATAATTCATATTGCTTACATACATTTGTTACAGAATGGCTTATATTAGCTATTTGCATGAAATCTAAGAAAAAATAAGCCAAAAATAAATCAAGACAGATTATTCAGAAAGGGTGACAAGGAAAATCATTTGTAGACGAAATTCCTCGTTTCTCAGGGATCGTTAAGCATGTGAATAAGTAATATACGGCGTAGTCCTACTGACTACATGTATCCTGAATTTTATATGAACTCCGCTGAATATTTATGCTCTGCCTTTCAGTAACTCCTGTTCATTGATATACACGTAGCAGTTAACTTTCCTACTACATCCATATACATGGACAAACAAACGAACTCCTAATATAAATAGCAATTACAAAGCTAAAGCGCTTATTTGCTTATCACTGACCATAGGAATTATTGTCTACTTTTTGATGTTAAAGAATTTAAGTTAATATTGTATCGACTTCCGGATGCAAGGAAAACCTGAATAAGTGTGTGATCAATCTTTTTTGATTATGTTTATATGTTTTTTTTTTTTCATGTAAATAAATAAATAAAATAATTGCTTATATAACATATAACAAGATCTTCTTCGTGTTTCTATGCAAAGCTTTTAAGTTATAATATTTAATTTTGATAAAAATGGCGCCTTTATGTATGGGTGATTAAAAAAAAGTATTATACCTCTTCAAAATACTTTCTTCGCTTGATATTTGTACCTGATTCATTAGTTTATTTACCCTGGGAGGCTTTATGCATGATACGACTAAAATGACGAAGTAAAATATTACATAAATTTGTTCTCGTTTACTCTGGACACAGAGTAATGGTTTTACACAATTAATACATTATTATTAAATAAGTACAAAAGGTCCTCGGTAGCCGACGGGCGTAATAACGAAAGTGATGTAAGATGTAACAAAGCAAAGGTTACCCGACTCTTACTGAAATAATATATTGTTTCGCTCATTTCGCGAAATGAGCGGAAATTGTGCCATTATTATGGTGTTCGTGGCGGCTTTATGCTGAACTGGAGAAGTGGGAATTAACGCGTTCCGACGTCATGGAATCGCCATTAAACGTCGCGTTTTAGTTAAAACAAAAGCAACTAACAATTTAAAATAAATTAACAATCCTGTGATATCTATATGTCACTGCACAATTGTTAACAATCAAGGAGCTTTTTGGTAGCAATTTATTACAATCTATTCAAATAAAACCGTCAAATTATGGGCAATACGTGCTGTTTAATATACCTATATGATCATTATCTACAGTTACAGAACGAAAACTGAACTACAATTGAGTGTCTTTAATTATTTTTAAATTATAATTCTATTTTATTTTAATGAATAGGTTATACTGTTATGTTATATCGCGGGATTTAGAAAATTATTATTTAATTCAATTTTTAAAGTTTCGTAACCAAAGAATAACTGGACCCTGTTACAAAAACCACCGCCTGTATGATATGTATCTAAAAATGGGGATAGCTGGCTTTTTAACTTTTTAAACAAAATATAAAAGAGATTTGTTTTATTTAAATGCCGCTATAACAAAATATACTAAAACCAGAATGAGGTAAATATGGTTACGTATACAAAACGCGTATTTTTATTGTTAGCACATTAAATGTGTGTACTGTTGTGTAAATAAAAGTATAGAATCTTTGTGGACGAGGCTTAGATTGATTTGTCTGTTCGTTGAGGCCCATCTGTAAAATATTCAGTCCTCTACGGATATTACGCATTCAGACGGCACACCTAAAATTGTATTTCAAACAGAGCTGTTGAGCATTTCGTGTAAGTAAGAATTATTTAGCGAGCTTAAACAAAGCAAAGCCTTCAGGGACGTTCAAACATAGATAAGAACTCTACGGGCTTATAATTCTACAGTCGGGCTATTAAATTAGGGGATTATATTATACTTACTTGAATTACATAAATAAATCGGTTGCATTGATAAATAATACAATTTTAAACGTAGCGCAATAAGAAATTACAAAATACATTTTTTACTTAGTATTAAAAATAGTCAGCGAACTAACACTAAGAAAAATTATTTCATAATCAATAAAGTACATAAAAAATATGAAGATAAGTTTTGTACACATATTTGGTAAAACGTCGTATTTAAAATTAAACAATTCTTAAAGCAATCACTGGGTCTATTGATGCAATATTAGGTAACGTAAAGTGGGTAGGTACGTAAGTATGTATGTGCGGTAAGTTTAAAGAAGAGTTGCTACTATCCGACTTTGACGTACTTATTTTAAGTGACGCACTATGCGTGTTTCCGTCGCTTTCCTGGCCACAGCTTGAAAGGGCTGTCACTTCTTCACACACTCAGTTTGTCGCATAAAGAGTAGTTTACGCAACAAAGACGGAGTCCTGCCATGGGCCGCCCTTGACGTGTTTATGTTTCGTTTTTCTTTTCAACTTCCACTTTGTTAGTTTACCCTTCCGGAACTTTTCACTTTGAGAAAAGAATACTATTCTTCGAGATCCTATTTGAG